GTTCTCTTTGAATAACTGATAACCAGCTATTTTATGTTTAGCAGCTCTTCTTTTAAAATATAGTTTGATACTATATAAGTAAATGCTGATGTGCTATCGGAAACAGAGATGTTGTCTTTAAATTACATTTTTAGAGATTACTTTGTTTTCATCGCTGTTAAATTCCTCGTTTGTAATTATACAAAATGTTGCATTTAGTGGAATGATAATAGTGTAGTCAAAATAGACTAAAAATGGGGTAAAAAATGGAAAAAAATTGTAAAAAGCAGTCTTTGGTATCATTAGAAGGGTAATTTTATGTACTTTAAGCAGGAAAAAGTCCACAAAATAACTATTTGAGGAAAAAAAGTTATGGCTATTTTACTTAGGGTCACTCTTTTAGATTTTTGACAATATTGTAATTTTATGGAATTCCTAAATATGCTGAGTTTGATTATTATTGCTTATTTATATCAATAAAATGTAAGTTTGTATGATTTGTTTTTAATTCTTAGCAATATATAAAATGAATTTTATTTATTTATTTAATATAGAGGATCTGGTACCAAGTTTAACACGCAATATAACAAGTTTTCGTTATATCGCTACCCTTATATTAGGGCTTTTTTTTTTTTTTTCCATTTAATGCCTAATAAATGAAAATATGCCAAAAATAAAATGTCAAGCTTTAAATTTTTTGTACAAAAACATTGAGCATTAATCATTTACTGAAACATTAATGCGCAAAATATTTCTTTATAAATAGGCATTTTAGATTATTTAAAATTACGAAAAAATGGATGACGATATTTGCATTATCTGTAAAGAAACAACCAACGCTTCACTTGTTACTGTGTGAGAAAAAGGAAAAAAAAACTATATTTGAGCTTTTAAAGCTTAGAACTTACTCCCAACTGACTAACTTTTTGAACGGAAAAACCAGCATCAAGGTTCATTCTGTTTGCAGAAAAGATTATACAAACAAGCGAAGGTTGTCAACCACAGAAAATCCTCTTAAGAAAAAAACGTAAGCTACGCTCAGAAGTAAGTTGTAAATGAAATGTCAATTCGGTTAATATACTAAACTATGTATAATATAAATGTACATGGCAGATGGTAAAGGAGTAAAAAAGACCTTTTGAATAAATTCTTGGTAGTAATAATAAAAATAATATTTTTTTTTGGATAATTTTTTTTGGAAAAAAAAACTGTTTCATTTGTGGAAGACTAGCTATTGTGGATCCTAAACATCCAGATCGTGCCAATATAATCCATGTAGAAGCAATATGTTGCAAAGAAAATCTTCTTAAAATTTGTGGAAAGAGAAATGATGATTGGTCATCTAGTGTTGGCCACCGTTTGAATGGATGCATTGATTTAGTTGCCAGTGAAGCTGTGTATCATTCTAATTGCTATCAACTATTTTCAATGAATAGACAGTATGTTAGGTTGATAAAATGAAAAATTTTAAATAAGAACTTGGTGTAATATAATAAATTATAATATTACTTATTTATTGTTTGTTTCTCTGATTTAATTTTTTTATATCAAATTCATCTGTTTTAAAACCTAGTCGTAGTGAGGATAAGAAAATGTCACAAAGCTTTGATAAACTTTGCATGTATTTTGAAGATGCAATGGCCCCTATGACAACGTGTGATATGCATACAAAAATGATTGAATTCGCAGGATCGGATGACAAAGTTTATTCGATGAAACAAATGAAAAGAAAGTTAGAGCGTCAATATGGCGATGATATTGTATTTGTAAAAAGTGACGGAAAACCTAACCTCATTTGTTTTAAAGATACTGCAAATTTCATAATTCAGAAGCCTATAAAAGAAATGGCACAAGACAACTTAAGTGAATGTGAAAGAATTATTAAAACAGCTGCAAAGCTTATAAAAGTCGAAAAAAATGCTAAAAACTTTAATACCAAAGAGTACCCTTCCAACTTAGATATTAAAAATTATCACGATAGCTTATCTCCTCTTCTTCGTCTTTTTATGAGAGTTTTGATAAAAGACGAACTAAAGCAATCCTCAATAGGCCAAGTTACAAAAGCTGTAAGGCCAAGATCATATATACCACCATTGCTGTTTGGATTAGGTGTAGAAGCAGATCATATGTTTAGCTCTAAATGGTTAATAAATCAGCTATTCAAACTAGGATTTTCCATTAGTCCGTCCGAGGTAACTCGATACAAGCATTCAGTCGTTAGAAGTGAAGAAAAAGCTGTTGAAGCGTCACTTAAAGGATCTTTAACCCAATGTGTAGCTGACAATGTTGACCATAACATCTGCACTATTGATGGTAAAGATATACTGCATGGCATGGGGATAATTGCAGTTGGTACAAAAGATCTAAATCAACCATTGAATATACCAATTCGAATTAAAAGAGTATTGTCTCGAATAACAGAAATGCACTCCCAGAATAAGATCCCAATTCTTTCGTACGATACTCCAGAAGTGTCTTGTTTGTCTGAAATCAAGCTTATTTCACAACTTCAGTTATCTTCAACCATAATTTTATCTACTGGAATTGATTATTTGTGGCATTTATTAAATACATTTTGTTCAATTAAAAATAGACCACAATGGAATGGTTTTACGCAAAAGCATCAAAAAAGTGAAAATCATCAACTAAAAAGTGACATCTTTATGCTCCATATAATCAATATTAATCCATCAGACGAAAACTGTATTTATTCTACTTTGATCTTTGTAAGAAATCAGGCTAAGGCTTTAGATGTTCCACCAAGTGTAACATTTAACCAACCTTTATGGATAAAGGCATTTGAAATTGAAAATTCTCAAGATCTTGGTATAGTTGTTCGTTTAGGGGGTTTTCATACTTTAATGAGTTTTCTTGGATTAATTGGGACAATCATGGAAGGTTCAGGATTTGAAAGACTGTCAGAGCCAATATATGCAATGAATTCAATATGCCATAGCACCGGCACTTCGTGCACACATTTTAGTTAAGTCGGCCTTGACTACACTTCTTCTAGAAGGTTTAGAAGTAATATATAACTCTAGAAGGAATTTTTTCAAATCATCTTTTTGCAACAACAGGACACATTAATTATGCAAAGAGCGCACTTTTATGTTATGTTATATGTTATTCGATATGTACAGGGGTGGGACCGCAAAATGTGAACGTTTTTGTTTTATTATAACTATTTTCTCGTTAGATGTAGTTGTACTCTCTCACTCATCAGAAAGTGTCTAAAGAGTTGTTAAATATGAACTATTTTAAATAAGAATGTCCAACCATTGGACATTCTTATTTAAAATAGTTTATATTTAACAGAAAATTAATTATTACAATCAGAAAAGTGTTCACATTTTGCGGTCCCACCCCTGTAAAATAAGTTAAGAAAATTTTATTTCATTTCAGGCTGCAGCACCAGAGCACATTCTTAGCATTATCCGATGTAACTGTAGTATTACAACAAAAAAATCTTGCAACAGCGCTTCACCTTGTAAACGGCATGGTATTAGGTGCACGAGTGCTTGCATACAGTGTCATCGAATAGATTGTCACAATTCAATGTCTTTGTTTGATTATATATTTATCATTTTTGATGACATATTAATAAATAGAAAAACCATTTAGACATTTAGTGTTTTTTTTAATGAAAGTGTTAAAAAATGACGTTATTACGCAAAAAGTTATTGCGACAAAAAATAGTGTAAATAATTTTGCCCAAAAAGTTATTTGTTGAACTTTATCCTGCTAAATGTACATAAAATTGCGGTTCTAACGGTACCAAACACCGCTTTTAACAAATTTTGTCCAGGTTGACCCTTTGTTGTTGAATACACTATAAGGGCTTTTTAAAAAGCTAGATCCAGCAGGAATATTTATAGAGTTAATTATATATTCTTTTACTCATGTATACTTGTAAAATTTACTTCAAACAAGCTTCTCTAAAGAAATTCAACTACAACTGCGTTGAAGTATTTGTTTATATTACAATGCAGCGGAGTTAATAAGATTTAAAAAAGATTTTCGCGTAAATGTAATTAATTTTAAGAGAGAAAACTGTTATCTATGTACGAGCAAGCCACGTAATAATGAAAAATTAAACAAAACAATCGCGAGTTTTTGATTTTTCTGTGCATACAAGTACCATTATGCATTACTTTACGGGGAAAGGTCAATTTACGGGAAATGAGAAACCCTAATTGGTACCGCAAACCAAAAGTGTTTCAAAACTAAATTTTAAAAATTAAATAAAAAAACCAGTTTTATATAATATAGCCATATAATTTATTGATAAAAATTTTAAAGACCTAGATTTCAAGGTAGACTACCACCTTTGCAAATTAAACTGCAGTTTAATTTACATGGCCATCGGGAATTTTTTTTTTTTATCAATGTTACATGACATTATCTTGTTGGAAAAACATTTACGCTCACACGCTGAGTAAATCCGTGAAATACTGCATGTTATCATCGGAAATTGTGCCATGACCTGAGCATAAAAAAACAACACAACGAAAATAAATTTAAAAAACTGCAATTGAAGTTTTGGGGAAAAGTAGATTGATAATAGAACATAAAAAATTTAACAAGTACTAAATTTTTCGCTATATTATTTACGCGAATAGTTGTTTCTTGTAATACTGAAAAACAGTAAAACTAGAATCAAAACCAATACAAACTATAATTACGTTCAGTGGCTTTCAGCATTCGAGTTTGCTGACAACAGAGTTTTTATTTCAGACATGCAATTGAAGATAATAGTACATTAACGTAGATGCAATTGAAGATAATAGTACAATAATTTAAGGTAAAAATTAGACGCAAAATCATTGTTTTTCCTTAATGACGAAATTTTTAATGCATCATTGTTTTCATTGAGAAGGCTGCTATTTAGTTACAACTGGTGTGGGTGAATTTCACGTAATCTATTTTTAAATGTCAAAAACAAAATTCAAAACGACCAAAAGCTTATAATACGAGAAAGGAAACACCAAAATTCAAATTTAAAAAAACTTAATAGCGGAATATAAATAACTTATAAAAATCTTTAGAATCAATAATATAAATTATTTACAAATATATACACATGCAAAAAAAATCTACTCAACAGCCTCACCCATCGCTCTTAAAGCAACAATGGCAGCATTTGCCTTGGCGTGCTTCTTATTAGGTGAAGCCACTGAGGCTTGGTAATCAACGTTTGCAACAGTTACTTTCATCAAAAAATTTTTGTTTTGTGCAAGGCCATGTTCAAAAACGCAAGTATAATCAGGAATACCTAATTTCCTTTTCACGCAAAGTTCGGCAAGAGCAGATACAGGATGCTTTCCTATAAAAAAAATTACAATTACAAAAGTTATATACAGTATGCTTTCCTAATATATATGAAAAAAACAAACAAAACAACAACAACAAAACAATCTTCCATAGTAGAAACGGCACATTTTGTAAAAGAGTAAATATTGAAGAAAATGAATTTAGATTTTTAAGTTGTTTTTATTATAAAAATATGGGCTTTTTCCGGGCGCATATTTTGAAACCCTATAAGGCTTAGAATGGGCAGAAACATGAGCAATCTGATTCGCTCATTTTAAAAGAGAAGGAATGCGTTTTTGTTGACAAAAATAATTAAAATAAAAAAAAAGCTTTCGAAATAGATTTTAAAGTAATGATCAAATAAATCTATCAATACAAGTCTTGTGTTATTATCAACAAAGAAAATTAATTTTATTTTAATTCTCTTCAGAGCAAATCAAAATCTATTTAATAAGATATATCAAAATCTATTCAGAGATATATCAAAATCTATTTATACAAAACAATTTTCAATTGTAAAAATCTCAAAATTATATTAGCGATTTTAGCTGTTGTTAATTTTCAGAAATGGAAAAGATTTGTGTTAAAATAAAAAGATCTATAAATGTGTTTCTCGTATGATGTACGAGAAACACATTTATAAATGTAAATGTCCTTGACTTTGAAGCATACTCAAATCTATAAATGTGTTTCTCGTAAAATATAATGTCCTTGACCTTGAAGCATACTCAAATACAAAGTTTATATGCAGTTTTATCAGACTGGTGAGGAACTTTATTTATACTTGTTGATTATAAAGAGTTGAACATCATAATTTTTTTTTGAAAAGGAAAATTTTTACTGATTGCAAAACTAGCTTACATGTTCCATGTAATGTACATGAAATCTGAGATTTTGCTTTTACGCTAATTCTGACATTTGTTTTGATTTTAACAAACGCGCACATGCCTCTCTTTTAAAATCAGTCAATCAAATCGCGCATATCTTTGCCTATTCTGAGCCTGTATAGGATTTAAAACTATATGCTTCCGGTGCCTCTAGTTCGCCAATTTACCCCACCCTGGAGTTAAGTTGGTGCAAACTACAAAAACAATTATTAGGTACAAAATTTTTTTTTATTTGGCAACAACTTTAGGCCAAGAACTTAATATTACTTTAGGCTAGCAGGCAATAGTTTGCCTAAACCGGAACAGTAACCCACTTTTATTTGGGTAAAAAAAAAATCAACTGAAATTCTTTTTCATATAAATACTGAGCCAACTTGCTCCATGAAAGTTTGCAAAATTACCCCTAAAGCCTATTTTTCAATAAACAGCCTATAGATTCTGAATAGTTTGTGAAATCACTAATTCAATAATCGCCATATGGACGTGTCATAAGCCAAAACACTTAATTCCATTTTTTGCAAATTTCTTAGTTTCGATAATTTCTAAATTGGCACAAAAGAACTCATTGAACATTTTTTTTTTAATTCATATTTTTTGGTATTTAATAGCAACAATATAAATTAAGAAAATTTTTCAATAGTTTTTAAGTGCCGATTTAGAAATTATCGAAACTAAGAAATTTGCAAAAAGTAGAGTAAAGCGGTTTGGGTTATGACGCGTTTAATTTGTGAATTTACTAACAACCAGTTTGTGAATTAACTAACCACTATTGTGAAACCAAACCGTCATGATTGGATGCATGTTTTATGCAATCAAATAATGTTGAAATTGAGACTTATGAATTGTTTCTTTCTAAGCACTGTCATCCTCATCATCCTCAAAGGCCAACACTCTTCTTCATTTCCAGTATCTTCTGGGGTACCTCAAGGTTCTGTCCTTGGTCCTGTTTTGTTTCTTATCCACATTAATGATCCTCCCGACATCTAAAGTAACTTTCTTTGCTGATGACTCAATTTTATACTCTTGTTTTGACAAAAGTCTTCTCTTTTTGATCGCTTAGAACAGGCAGCCTATCTTTGAATCTGATCTCATTTCTGTAATAGATTGGGGGTCACAGTGTATGTATATCCTTCTTGTATATTTATATATATTCTTCTTGTTTCTTTTTGTTTGTCTGTTTTAATTTTGTTTTAAAAAATATATGAATAGATGAATTTAAATCTTAAAAATGTTCGGAATCGTTTAAAATTCAAAATATCTTTTGTATATTTAAATATATATTATGAAGTTTATTGGATATGTATATGCATATGTACCGATTAGTAAATTATTACTTTCAAACTTTTTAGATTTTTTTATTTTTTATTATTTTCAAACTTTTTTGTTTTGTCAAACTTAAAATTACTTTTAAAACTTTTTAATTTTTTTTTAAACTTATTTAAATTTCACTCTTTTATATATTATTGGAAAATGTAAAATTTTATTTTATTTTTTCTATTTTTACGAAAGGGCTTGATGATAAGACATTTTGTCTTCTACTTGCCCCAGTCAGTTTGTAATTGTATAAATTTATGTGAATGTAAGGTCAACATTGTAAAATGTGTCAAATGACGAAAATAAAATAATAATAACAACTAGCATCTGCTAAGTTTGCTTTACTTTATCGTACTTGCCATTTTCTCTCTCCTGATTCCATTCTCTATCTCTACAAATCTCTTATTTATACCTGTATGGAATACTGTTGTCATATTTGGCCTGGTTCTTTTAATGATGCTCTTTCTCTTCTAGACAAGATCCAAAAACGCATTGTAAACGTAGTTGGACCCAGTCTACCTGCTAAGCCTAAACCTCTTTCTCATTGTTATAAAGTTGCATCTCTTTTTCTATACTACAACTACTATCATGGTCGCTGCTCAAAGGAGCTGTCATCTCTAGTTCCATTAACTAAAATTCATTCTTGCTTTATCGTTTCCCGTATCTGTCCCTGTATGCTCTAAAAACATTTATTCATCTAGTTTTTTTCCCTGCACTTCAACCCTTAGGAACTCTCTCTCATCTTCATGTTTTCCTGACTTAAACAACCTACAACATTTTAAGTCTTCTGTCAACCGTTTCCTTGATTCATAACTAAATTCTTTTTTTCTAGTAATTCTTAACTTAATAGTGTTTGCTTGCAGTCTTGTTGGGAATGAATTAGAATAGAAAATTTTTTTTACAGTAAACTGCAGCACAAGTATAATATATAGTATAATATACTATAAGTATATTATACTATATATTATACTTTTTTTTAACACGTGCAACTATATTCAATAAATTAAACTTTAAAACATAATCACCGTTTATATTTGCAACAGGAGCTGGAGGACGCCTTTTTGGTACCAATTTTCCATTCCAAACATTGAACTGAGGTTGCTCATCCGCACTATACAAACCTCCTCTTCCAACTTTTATATCAACTGCAATTGGTGCCAGAAATCCTTCCTGCTTCTTACCAAGAGGACGTCCTTGCTGCCATCCCATTTTTTGCATCATACGCATTCCAACACCCCCAGTAACTGGTTGAAGGTTATGAAAAAAATCCTATTATTTAAAGTAAAGAATTTGTTAAAAAAATCGAAACAAATCAGCAAGATCAAAAATAAATTAAGACAATTTCAAGATTGAAAAAAAAAAAAAAGAATTTTAACGTTTATATGATAATATGTATACATCTACATTTATTACAAATATATCACATAGTATCTTTTTGGTGGATGGTAAACTTAACAACCAATTTTTTTTGCGCAATTATTTAAATCAGGAAACAATAAAACCCAATCCATTAGAAGTCAACAATCAAAAAACCACAATAAAAGACAAATTAAATATTTACACACACATGTATATATATATATATATATATATATATATATATATATATATATATATATATATATATATATATATATATATATATATATATATATATAAATAATATATATATATATAAATAATATATATATATATATTCAATATATGGCTTCAGAGGCTATTCTAGGAAAAAAGTTTGGGTACCCCCCTGCTTAAAATAAATAAATTTAATGTTATTTCGTCAAGTCTTCAAAATTTAATTTGAGCGGCGCCCAAATACGGTCAACATTGTTGAAAACGGTCTAGAATAGCCCCTGGGCGTTGTTAAACAGCAGAAAATTTTTAAAAAGTCAATTTTTAATCTCTATTTTTGTCAAACTACAATAGATGAGTTTTGAAGTAGACACATGAAAGCTAATTCAATTAAGTTGTTTTTAAGGAACTTTTGCAGTTTTTATGTAACTTAAATTAAAAAATTAAAAATAAATATATGTTTTTTCTGAAACTTTTGTCATAAAACTGAAATTTTTTATTAATAAATGTGAGGTATTATTTGTATCATTAATATAAGTGAGATATTAAATCTTTTTTACATTTAAGTTTTGAGTAATAATTTTTAATTAAATCATATTTTAATATTCAATTTATACAACGTAAGGTAAAATTTGAGAGTTAAGAAATCTAAGAGTTTGAGAATTTTAAGAATTTAAGAAAATTTTGAGAATTGAGAAAAATAGAATTTTAAGAAAACTTAGAGAATTGAGAAATCTAAAAGTTTTGGTGCTTTAAATAGTAATAATAGTATAAATAGTATTAGCCATAGAAACATTTTTATGGCTAAACTTTTGCAAGTTTATGCCTTTGAGAATGCAGGTAATTCATGGACTACCTCAGATTTTGATGAAATTTGGTTGGTTGGTTTATATTAATGAAAAAAGCAATTTCTGAAATTTTCAGTATAAAATCTTTTGTGGTACATAAGATTTTCATGAGAGTTCAAAATTTCTGATTTTTCCAAAAATAAAAACTTTAATTAGCAAAAACATGCTTTGTTTATACTTTGAAGCTTTATATTTTAAAACGTTCTAGTCTTACTGTAGTAAAACTTTAATATTGAATTTTGTTTAAGGTTTAAGGTAGCCATTATGGATAAAATGTTGCATTTTATCCATAATGGCTACCTTAATTATCATTTGCAAATGTAAAAAGTTGATTTTTGATGGGTCAATATACAAAATCTGCAATTTAGATAAAGGTGTAAAGAAATTTTTTTAGTTACTCTAAATGGTCTTTTAAATTTTCAGAAATTTACTGATAAGATACAATTCAGTAAAAAGTTATGCACTCTTAAAAATGGCTTTTGCTAAACTTAAGAAATTATGCCTTAACTTCAAACCACTGGTAACTTAAATCAACACTGATGGGAATAAGATTTTCTCTCTAATTTACTTTATTACAGTGATTTTAGAGAGAGAGAAAAAAGTGTGTACTGAGGAAGTTACAAAATCAGACAATGGGAAGTCACAAGGTAAAAAAAAAGGGAATTATTGGGAACTTATAAAATCAGACTATGGGAATGGGGAAAATTGTGGCTACTTCATTGGGAAGTAACAAAATCAGAACAATGAAATTTGAAGAAAATGCATTTAAAAAAGTAAAAATAGAGTTATAGATGTACTTTAGTTTGTATTATATATTGCAACAAAATATGTTTATATGTAAAATTATTTCAAAAAAAACCTAAAGTTTCCATCAAAACGTAAAAAATTATTTCAAAATCGTAAACGTAAATGCATCAAAAGAGCAAAAAACATTTTAGCCTGGCACGGAGGTAATGAAATTATTGATGAAAAACTTTTCGTTTTGTAACAATCTCACAACTCCCAAAATGACAGAAACTTAAGTTTTAAGAAGTCTTAAGTTAAGTCTGAATTATACACTGTGACAAATATATTCGGGTACAATCCTGCGTTAACAATTTCCAGTTATTTTATCAATTTATTGTTTATCAAAAAAATATTTAAAAGAATCGGTATGTTATCTAATTGTAAAATGCAAACCAATTTTGTAATTTAAATTAATAGAAATAATATTTCTAGCTATGAAAGTGTATGGAGAAATAATTATCGAAAAATTTAAAAACGGAAAGTCTCGTGGGGACATTTTTAGAGCCCTGAAAAGTGATGGAGTGACCAGAAATACGGTTTATTGTACCATTGCACGTTTCCCGGAAACAAGTACTACCACTGACCAAGTTGGGGAGGCAAACACTCTGTAAGTACTCCAGCAGCCATCAAAGTAATCAGAGAATGAACTCGACGAAACTCTGCTCAATCTGCCAGGAAAGTAGCAAAAGATCTTGGAATGAACCGTGAAACAGTGCGAATTATTTTAAAAAAGATTTGAAGTTGAAGCTTTTCAAAAAAACGTAAAGTTCATGGAGTTTCCAAACCATCAAAACACAAACATTTTGGCCTGGCACGGAGGTGATGAAATTATATTTTCTGATGAAAATATAATTTTATTTTCCTTTCGTTTTGCAACAATCTCGCAACTCCTAAAATGACAGAAACTGGTCTGTTTTAATTGAGGACATCCCAGACGACAATAGACATGTTCCAAGATTCTAAAACGCAGCTTTTGTAATGGTTTGGGGCGCTATCTGTCCAGAAGGTAAATTGCCCTTGATTTTCATCGAAAAAGGTGTAAAAATTAAAACAAAATACTACGTGGAAGAAGTGATGGAGAAAAACGTGCTTCTGAACACCAAAAATCTGTATGGAGAAGATTAATACTGCTTCCAAAAAGATGGAGCCCCTTCTCATACAGCTAACATTACTCAGGCTTGGTTGGAAAATCGACTTAAATAATTTTTTAAAAGATGATGATAAAGATAACTTTTTAGAATTTATTAGAGTATCATATTGCATTTATATAATTATATTGCAGAGTTTGATTTAATACCAAGTCATAACCTTTGTACAGAATGTTAAAAAATGTTGCACTTAAAAAATAGTAAAAAAGTTTATGGAAATAATTTATTAATGAGACTCACATTTAAGAAAAAATATTTAGTTCAAGTATTATTACCCTTAGTTGTTCACCTTTAAAAAACAGGGTTAGCTATGCAAAAAGAAAGATGAATAAAATTTATTTTGCAACCAAAAAAAAAAAGCAAATGTTTTATAAGTTTTTCCAGATTTAATTAGGATAAACCAAAAACAATAGAACTGTGTTGCATAAGTAAACAAGACTTGGGCACAAAATGGAATTAATTAAAGAAAAATTTGTTTCTTTAAAATCTGAAAAACTTTAATTACTGACTTAGGTTCCTGAGAGTTTGAACATTAATTATACACAAAACTATTTTTTTGTTTCCCCAAAAATGATAAACACGTTTTCGAAATAAATAGCAGAGCCATCTAAAAAAAAAAGGAAGATCTATTAGTGAGAAATTAAAAAATCAAACTCATGAATTCTACTAATCAGATGATTATTTTTGAATGTGTCCAAGTATGACTCGATCCAAGTTGATGGTAAAAGACAACATTTAAAAAAAAATACTTCTGTTAGTAATATAAAAGAACTTATTTAGAGTTCATTGAAATTTCCTTTAACTAAAGATAAAGTTTTCTAAGTTTTGTGAACTCAAACCAAAGTAGTGTATTCCGATTGGAGGTGATTCAGGTTTCCATTCAGTATGTGTTTGTGAGTACGACCAGAATGCAAAAACTTTAGCATTAAAAATATCTTTCATTTCAGACTATAAAGACCTCAAGGCATTAGTTGTGTGTGACCTAATAAATCAAGACTGCATGTTGCACAGTTGCAATAATTGCCCAGATACCAACACACTAAAAGAGCATCTTACTAGTTTGTTTGACAAACACAGCATGAAAAAAATCACCTTTAATCAGTGGCAAAAAACCAAGAAAAAACATGATATAGTTTCAGTAACTCCCAGCAAATGATTTTATAGAAAAAGTTTGTTAACAAATAGACCATATAAGAGACCAACACTTAAATAGCCAAAAATCAAGCAGCATACTTGAAGCAATTAAAATAAATATTACCATGCAATCATATTCTAGTATTACTAGACTTTGCTGAAAATTACAGTTTTTTAATTCAAGATGCAGTTTCCACAAAGTTTCCATCGGAACAGCAGTCATGCAATATTGCATCCTTTTGTTATTTACTATACAAAAGAAAATGAGATAAAATGTAAAAGTGTTTATATAATCTTAGATTATTTGCAACACAATACAAACTCAGTTCATTGTTTCATTTAAGAGTAAATAAACATTTTAAAAAGTTAATGCATTACTTTAACAATCACATTTATTTTAGTGATGGTACAGGTTCACAAAACAAAAACTATAAAAACATATCTAACCATGAACAACTAAAACAAAACATGGAAAGAATCCTTGTGATGGCATTGGGGGCTCTGTGAACATCTTGTTAAAAAGGGCCAATTTACAATCACTAGCAGATTCTATCAACTCACCTGAGAAAAGGTATGATTGGTGTAGACAAAATATTAAAGGATTAAGTTTTCAATACATTTCATATGATACAACTATATTACATTGCATAAAGTTTAAATTTAATTGTTTTTAGACAATACCGTTGAAATTTGAGTTTCTTCAGATCTGAAAAATCTGAAGAAACTCAGATATTCTTATCAAGTTTCAGATATTCTTATCAAGTTCAGTCTACTCTTATCA